GTTTTAGGTTGCACAACCTAAAACCCCAAACTTAGACTTCTGGAAAAGAGAATTTATTCATAAACAGGCTGAAGCAGATAATTAACCGCTGAGACTGTATACATTTCATTGTGGGAGGAGTCACTCAACTTCCCCGGTTTCATTTCCTTGTAATGAAATCAAGTAATTTTCTGGGTTACTGAACTTAATCATTTAATTGGTGACTTCTTAGATGACTGATAACACAAAAATAGTCAGAATCCTAAAATATCCTTTCATATCATATCTAAAAAAAAAAAAAAAAAGATGCTTGTTTCTACCACAAGTAATACTTAAGACCTTTGTGGGTCTTTGGTTCCAAACATTCAAAGATATAGAACTGAACAAGATACATATTTGGAAGCTGCCTCACTTTATTCAATTGTATAAGTAAGTCACACTATTTCCTTTTACTCCAGATCTGCCTAATTAATGGTCTTTATAATGTAAATTTTATCACCTGGAGCCAAATCACTCTTCCTTAGAGGCCCCAACTCATGAAATCTATTAATAACCCCATAGAAGTATTTTGAACAAAACAAGAACACCAACACAAAATGTGTAACCGGAAAATGAATTTGCAATCCAAATGAATCTGTAACACAAAATCTATTGACTGCAAGTTGGGTGAAGGTTTTTTACCTTGAATTATTTATCTGAAGGAAAGTTTGGCATCATTCATGATCCATTTTGACTTATCAATTTCTCTTAGAAAAAAGAGACTGGATAACTTCAGACTTGAAAACTGACACCTAACCCTTCATTCACAGGAATTCTGGATTGCTTTCTTTTCTCCTCTAGATTCTTCACTTTGTAAGAGGCCTAGACTTAGGAGACATCTTACATGCTGTGGTTCAAAGAAAAGCAGTAGACTAGATAAAACCCCCAGGGCTATAACATTCCACCAAGGAACTGCTCACCCAAAAGGTTCAGGAACCTGAACTGAATGAGTCTAGTACACACAGAATTGGTGTCTGGAGAGGAAACCTGTTCTGCTTTATTGGGAAATGATATGCTTATATCTCTGCAGGCCTCTGACATTTTTGATAAGTTAACTATTATTTTTTAAGTATACTAAAGAGATTTGGCAAGCCAGCAAAGAAATCATACAATCTGGTAATTTGACTAATAACCCCAGAGCTGGCAATACAGACTCACTACATTTGAAGTGAAATCTGTCTTTCTGGCTTAATTTGGTGACTATTGGCTCACTGGCTTAAAAGAACTCTGCAAACTGAATCCCTATTTTTGGAATGTGTGTTATTCAAGGGTGATGTATATCAATCACCCATCAAATGGGTAATGAAAGTTTTAAATGCTACTATGCAAATTTTGTCCCATCACATGGTTAAACAAATGAACAAAAAGAACCAAAAAAAATCTAACATTAAAGATGTTGAAATAACCATCTGGGACACTTGAAACATGATCATGAAGCCATAAATAGTAGTGAAGATTTGGAGGGAAGATATGAGATCACACATCCCAAGTTGTGAATCCTTCTGTTCAGGCCAGAGAATGGCACTAAAGAGGCAATATTAAAAACTGAAATCACTGCACTCCCACTGGTAGTTTATAGCCAACATTAGCATCTCCACTGCTCAACTATCTTTCTTCAGAAGGCACTAGTAAATAAGTTAGGAAACTAGCCCAGGAAGCTAAGGTTGCAAATAACTTAAGTGCTCATTTGAAGAATTTTCTGTCATTTATCTGAACTCAACTCACCCACAGTAAGGTACCATACAGTCTTCTGAAAACAATAGATAAATAACTTTTTAAGATTTACTTTAAAATTCTACCCCAAGTTTGTCCAATCATAAGCCACAAATCAAAAACCTCATTTTAAACTAGACCCTAAAAGAACATGCCTCTTCTCTTCTTTCAAAACACTGCTAAGATGCTATCGATATTGTGATTGTTCTTACCACGAAACTCAGCTTAGCTTCTGGAGCGCCAGCAAGGCAGAGCAGGTTCTGCATGGAGCCAACAGATGGGTATAGGAGTAGTCCTGGGGCTCTCAGAGGCTTTTTCAGGCTTTAGTGCTCTTCCTACACTTTTAGTAGTGAGGCGACCAGGTACAGGGCAGGCAGGGTTGGGGGCTGCTGGGGCCAGGTGTCTGAGAAGCCTCCTAGACTCCAGCGTATCTTTATCTAGCTGTCCGACTCTGCTCTCTTGTGGTTTCTACTGCACTCTGCTGTTAAGTCTCCCGCCGCGCACCTGCGTCTGCAGCCGACAGTCCTGTGAGGCCCGCTGCGCTTTTATGCTCTCAGCTCAGGTGCGCCTGCTCACCACACTCCAGGCCCCTACCATTAAGGGTGCGGTGTAAGACCACAGGTGTCAATAATAGATGTTAATGGCAGGAAGGTGGAAAAAACCTGATAAACTTGCATTTACAACTTCACAGGATTCTTTTGGTGTTCTTCAGGAAGACAGCATTTGGCATTGAGTAGGAAGTTTAAATGACAAGGTAATATACAAAAAATAAGTTAAGGATCGCATGGTATATAAGAACTTACTACACTGACATTACCCAATGTGTATTTTAAGAATATTAATGTCCTGAGATGCTTAGGTGTTATTTTTTTATATATTATTTTTTATTATTTTACATCATTCACCCACATGCCATCAAGAAGGTGTTACTTTAAAAAGGATTCTATGTTCAAATAACCATATACCAGAGACATTTTGCGGGGGTGGAGTGGGGAGTGGGATCAAAAACGGGGGGGGGGATGGAGGGAAGTGCATGGGATTATGGTGATGGCACACGGGTGACTTGGTGATGGGAAACCCGCGGGGATTACAATTGAGATGGAAAAAAAAAAAAAGTACAAAATGAACTGTTATAAAATTTTTAAAAATCCCATTAAAAAAAGGATTCTATGTTCAAATAAATCTGGAAAATCTCAGATTAAACAAAGGTAAATTGGTCTTCTTGGTACAGGGCTTAAGTCTGTCCCAAAAACATCCAGGAGGAACACAATATATAGAGGCTTTCGCAAACTGATTTTACCATGAGGATCTTCTTCATGAAACATTTTGGATCTGGTGTTCTACAGAAAATTAATTTGAGAAACAATGAACTGTATTAAAATCACTGGCACTAGGTTCAAATCAAATTCGACCACTATTGTGTAACCCTAAGCAAGTCTTTTGGCTCCTTTGAGTTTCAATTACTTGCCTGTAAAATAACAGTGAATGATGATGATGACAATATTTGCCCTATGCACTTATTAAGGCTGATATGAGAATCAAACAAGATAAGAACTTGCAAAGTATTTTATAAGCTTTAAAGCAATATACCCATGAGTCAAGTCTTTTAACAATACCTCACATTAGAGATAAATACTAAGTTAGAAAAATATAATCAGAATAAAGTCCTCTAATTTGATAGGAAAATTGCATTGCCCTATTTTTGTGTCCTACAATTTCTCCATGAGATCAAATCCAAGGGTGAGAATAAGTGACACATTATTTTATGAGATTTGTATATCTGCAGACTGAAAACTAGCCTGAAGGCTGGGACCACTTAACTGGGAAATATACAAAGAAATGGGAAGTTCTCACATGTGTTATACAATCATATCTCAATAAAGCTGGGGATAATTAGCAACTTATTAAAATAATTCTACTTTAATCCATGATAACCCCAAGTAAAATTTTTCATCCAAAAATGTTAGTTTCATAAAGTTCAGAACTATTCCTTTAGTGCAATGGGTTGAACAAGAACACAAGTGACTTGAGACAAAAAACTGCCCTCAATATTATCATTTACTCTGAGATCAAATGCACCTCTGCAAAAGCTACTGCAATTGTCCTTGGACTGAGTCAAGCACACCCAGGGCTGCATTTGCAAAGGGACATCTCAGACAGGTGCAGCTATTGCACCTATTAGAGAGTGCCAACTGCCAGGTGTAAATAGGGCAAGGATATTTCTTTCTTCTTTTTAAAGATTTATTTATTTATGCATACAAGAGCTGGGGTACAGGCTGGAATGTGCAAGGGTGAGAGAATTCACCAGAGACAGAGTGGGGATCAGAACAGGAGGGGTGCAGCAGGGGAGACAGGAGAGGCCTGCCACACCATGTGGGTCACCTTCCTGGCTGGGGACTGAACTCAAGCTGCAGCAGCTGATAAGAGTTTTACAGTGCTGAGTTTTAACCCACTGGTGTGCCACCAAGGAGGACCCAGCAAGGCTATTTCCCTATGAAATATGTGAAAGTCAGAAATAGCTGTTCTAAAAAAACACCATTTACTCTAATAACCTTGATTGTTTAAAGTGTCCAACATCACACAATTGCAAATGCTGAATTCTGGTATTTCTGAATAGTATTTGTCAAAATACTCAAGATAGGTGTGAAATCATATCCTAATTAATACATATTAATGAATTTTCACTACTCATACTGACTGAAAAAGCACAAAATCTGAAATCAGAACTGGATTGAAATTATAACCATTTGCATCAAGGGTTCTCTCTGCTTATTTGCCTGAAAGATGTGTAAAACACTAGTTAGAAAAATATGAATATAGGAAAACTAAACAGGTATTTAGTGAATGGCAGCTATGAGGACATAGATGCACAAGAATCTTCATCTATGTTTTGAACTTCTGATTAAACATACTGCATTTCAACCAGGAGAATGACCAGATTTTACATAATTCAGTAGCTGAGCTGAATGATTGTTGAGAGAGCTGGGGGCAAGAGTTCTCCAGAATGCTTTTATTCAGTATCATATTCCCTCCCAAGCCAATTGTCTCTAAGCTGCCAGGTTAAGCCCCAACAAACCAATAAAGGAAAAAGCCTGGTCTGTCAATGTTAAAATGATTGCATATCTTTTCTGTGTGATATGGCAGAAAACAAGAAACTGTACAATCATATTTTTAGAATTATCTCCATTTGTTCAGCCTTTTAATTTTCTGTATTTTTTACTTAATGAAAAACTTGAAATTTATGTCATGAGGACTACACCACACAGAACGCATAAAGAGGGTCATTTTCTTCAATCAGAAAAACATTTTAATCTAGTGTTTTGGCTTTACAGAACAAGTACATATATGGTGATACATCTAATAACCTAATTTCAAGTAGGCATTTCTAAAAATTCAACTAGAAATCACCCTTGGTTTCAGTTTTAGTGGATTTTTGCTTGGAAAAGTTTATTTCGTGCTAAAGATATTTCTTCTAAAGCATCACAAAATTATTACACATCCAAACTTTTCTTCAATGGTAGAATACTTAATCTTCTAAAGGAGGAGTCTAAAAGAAAACTGTTGTACATTACAATACTGTTTAGTGAATTCACACAGCAGCAAAATCTAGACAAACTGGGACAAGTTACAGATATTGTCTATTTTATAATAGACAGGTGATTCATTCTGTATATTTATGGATGTCTCCTCCTAATAATTAAAACAGTTGTCTTCACCAAATCTCCCTTTGTTTGCTATAAGGTATAAACTCTGTATCTAACTCTTTAAGGAGCAAAAGTATTACATCCTGCTAATTCTATCTATAAAGTACCACAGAACAGGAACTACAACAGAAAGTGGAATTTCTTTTCAAAAACATAAGAACGCTGTGATTTTAAAACATCAAGCGCACACTGACTTTGTAAAGTCAGTTAAGAACTTCCCATATATGTTAACAGATATAGAATGAATACATACACTCTTAAGATGCTTTTTCCTGAGCAGAATGCAGTTTATTTTATATCAAATTAAGCTTCTGTGAATTTCCAAAATGTAAAATACCACCAATGCTTTTCCACATCAAATAAAGAAAAAATCAGGAATGTCCCATCTTTACAACTAAAAATAAAAACAAAAAAGTTCAAGTACAGCTTCAACAAGAATGACATAACATCAGGAACTGGGGCCAAAATTTTAAATTATCAGTGACAGCTCTTCAATTTTAAGGATCCCTCAAGTAAACTTCAGTTTGAAACAAACAAAAATTACTATTTATTAAAACATGAATGTATTTCCAGGAAATTATCTAATTTGGAAAATGAAAACTATAACCCACTATAGGTAAGAAAAATATAAACCACACACCTAACCTAGAGGAAGAAAGGCAATTGACCTTTAGAGAAATCTGGACATCATGTCTTACAAATACTTCCTAAATCAATAGCACATTGTAGCATGTATAGAAAACTAATTGAAGGTAGCTTTTAATTAGTTGCATAATCTAAAAATAAGGACTTTTACTATATTTCTAAAAGGATCATGGAGGAGTTATTGAAATACACATTTCTTTAGACAATGGGAAAAGCTCCCATTTATGGGAAATTTTTTTTCACACAGTGAAACTGAGAAAATTATATCATATGAGAAATCCTTTTTCTCTAAAATTATCTCCTTATATATCTCAAAAATGCAATACTTGGGAAATGAAATTTTTCAATTCAAATTTGAAACAGATTTTAAAACAAACAATACAAATCTTATTGCTTGGCACCAGATTTTCAAAAATTAAAGAATTGTTTAAACCACTTTACTATACTTTAATCTTATTTCCAACTTTAAGTAGTGCTTTTATTTTCTGAAAGCAGGCTGTTCAATCAAGTGACATCTAGACTGAACTCCGCAATATACAAGCAAGTCACAGTTCACTTCAAACCAAAAGAAATGATAAATCTTCTATTTTTTGTCAAAATCATATTAAGATATTTATAAAAATTAACTAGGATTTATCCGTGGCCAATGAAGAACCCACAGAACGTTGCCTTACGGCATTCTGGGGAAAGTCTTTGTTTGTTCCTTCTTTATTTTCAGCTTCCTCTTCTGAAACATCTTCATCATCAGCCTCTTGTTCTTCCTCCACTTTTTTCAAAGGTTGAGAAGATTCTGGTAATAGTTTTTCTTAAAGATAAAGACCAGAAATGGTTTTCTTGTTGCTATATTAAATCAGCATTAGAATAAAATCAAGAAACAATGATTCATGTGCCCATAAACTGCTTTGGCTTCTATTTATCAATCCTAAGTTTGGATTTCCCAAAGGAAGATTATCATGAATAAATGGTACTGTAAAAATAAAAACTGCTTTGGAAGACCCAGTTTACTTAACAAATTCACTCTAATTAGCCATTTACTTATAAACTGAAATATAATTAATGAACCAGAATTAATGCTTGAATAAGGTAGTTATAAGAAAATATACTCCATTAAATATATAATGGATGTATTAATTTTCTATTAAAGCTTCCAGGTAACAAACTTCAACACTATCCTTGATTCAAAATGAAGGTTATATTCCTATCGATGTTTTCTTTTAAACTAGTATCATAAATGTGCGTGTTTTCCTTCTCACCCTAGGATTGTGTGCTATGGTCTTCTGTAATCATTTTCTGCTGTGACTATAAAGAACCAAATAGTGGAAATGGAAGACATGGAGGACTGAGAAATTCAAAAACAGCATCTTAACATCTGAGGCCTCTTTCGTTCAGACAACCTTGCCATATGAACCAATATATTCTTTTTTAATTTATTATCATTATCATTATTATTATTTATTCATTTGTGCATACAGAACTGGGGTACAGACCAGAGGCTCAGGGGAGGTGAGAGGCTTCACGAGAGACAGAGTGAGGAACAGAACAGGCAGATCGACGAAGTACACTACTGAGGGGAGCAGCGGGCGGGTCAGGAGAGGTCTGCCACGCCATGTGGTCACCTCCGGGGCAGGTGGGAATCAAACTCATGAGGAAGTGGCTTTAGATTCTCAGTGCTGTGCTTTAACCCGCTACGCCACCAGGGAGGGCCATATGAACCAAAATATTCTTCATTTTGCTTAAAGTTCAATTGAGTTTGGTTTTTCCCAAGCCAAACACACATATTAGAAAAAAAATAATGTGGCTTGCTATAGAAGTGGCACTATCACAGCAAGTGTAGATTAGTATCAATCAGCAGTGTCACAGTTCACTTAAAATCCAAATTTCGTTAGATCTTTGAAGTGATAAATATAAAATGTCAATTCACCAACTTTTACATTGTTTTTAAAGTAATTTACATTGCTCCCCTACAGACTAGACGCTATATATCCATCATTTTTATTATTAAAATGGGTCAAGTCAACAGACAAGCTATGTGATAAATGCCATCTCCATGGGTATCACTCCAAAAGTTTTGACCTCAATAAATCCAGTCATAAGAGGTATCATAATTGGAGAAATATCAGGCTAAGAGTCTGATTTAGATTGTACCCTCAGCACTCCTTTTTGTAAACCTTGGAAAATACTTCATCTTTCTGAACTTTTTTCCCTCAAGGTCAAAATGGGAATAGTATCACATATGCAGTCTACTTTAGTTAGTTGCTGAAAAGCAACATAGGATGACAGAAAGCCAACGTTTTTTACAAACCGCCAACAGGAAGCCTTCCATAACAGCATAATTTTCAGTATTAAATGACTGGGAGGGAATTATATTAAACAGCAGCAAATGCTTCTAATGATACAAAGTCATCTTGTAGTAAAGTACAGTCTTAATGCCAATCCTAAATCAGCCACTGAAGTATTTTCCAATATCCTCTCAGTATGCAATCTTCAAATATGCTCACTATACTAATGAGTAAATTCAAGCGCAGAAAATAAAACTTTTTAACTCAAGTACATTCAAATGAATCCATGAAAATCATGGACTGTCCAAATCAATGTTATTAAAATTCTCCATATTATAAAAGACAAGAAAGTAAGCATGTTCCAAAATCTAGTGGATGCTTTTCTTACATGAAATATCAATCATCCTCTCCATTTTGATATGAACTATCACTCCTTATTTAGTGACCTAAGCTACAAAGGCATCCTAGTAAATGTTGTGTTTACAGAAATAAATGGAATTATGGTGAATAAAAGTTAACATTTTAAATTATACTTACTGGAAGGATATGGCTGTGGTCTGCGCCTTTTTGAAGGACAAAGGCAATCTGCCACAAATATCATACACTGCAAAAAAGAAACGTAAGAAATCTGAATGTACGCTGTATGATATAGCTGGTGTTACCTACACTGTCAAATTTTAAAATATTTTTTCTAGTACTCTGAAAGTGAAGTACTTACAAGTCCTAATAATAATCCTGAAAGCAGAGTTGCTAAGGCAAAGACTGCATATGATCCCCAAACTGGTAATCCAAGGTCTTCAATAAAATAGTTATGGCAAGTCTAAAAATAAAAATAAATAAAAAAGAGCTTAGAAATTGGTTGTTTGAAAACAGATGAATATTAAAAATCTTTAAAATAGAAGTAAAATTTTAGGCCATACCCTGATCCACATCGATAGCTGAAAGAGTGCTGACATACTACTCATCCTAAAGTAAAAGAGAGATTATTGAAAAATTGAGTAAGATACACATCTCTGAAAGTAGAATACATGGAATAACTGTATCTTCTGTTTTTTTTGGTTTTTTTTTTTTACAATATACTTGCCACAACACAATAGATTTTATTGCTAGAGGTAATCCATATTAGTGATGCATCACTGATTTCATGTCTCCAATAAGGTTTGGTAAGTTTCTGGATTGCTGCCATTATATTCCAACACTTGCTAATTTCTTTTCCTTCTCCTTTATCTGTGAGGTAAACCTTTCATCTGACAATTTCTCCAAAAACCCTGACTGACTGTAACAAGCTCAATAGAGCCAGCTGATTAAGTGAGGAATACAATAAGCAAGTCGCAACTCTAGTTCACCCTTAAGATGCTTCCAAGAGTGAGCAGAGATGGAAGCTTAAAGAAGAACTGGGAGCACTAGCTGGGCCTGTCCTGCCCATGTGTCAATTATACCCCTTGTTATGAAAATCAAATAAAGCCTACAACAGCATTAGTTCAATATAGTTTAATGGTACACAAAGTAGTTACACAGGAAATAAATTCTAAGACATCATATAAGTAAAAATTAGTTTACAAAACTAATTTTGTAAATAGTAACTAGTTTATTTACATGGTAGTCAAGAAATAAGATAGGTCTGCCAGTTACCAACTGTAGCAGAAGTGTTGTTACTGGTATTGTCATCAATACCAAAATCAATTCACACATTAGCCCAAGTTTCTGTATGCATGATGTCCTCATCCAATTTTCAGTCATTTGGGTGGGTGAATCTACTGAGCAGACAGACATTGGGTTGCCATTCAATCAGTCCACCAAAATAAAGGTATAGGTTACCTACTCTGAGGATTCAAATAACATTCATGAGCAACCCACTTCTACCAGAGAGGCTAAGATTCACTTCTGAGATGAGATTACATTTCAAAGAACAAGAATCAGTTATATTTTCACTTCAACAAAGAAGAGATACTTTAATCATATTGTTTCCATAATTTAAAAGACAAAAGGGAGTAGAGTCAAGAAACCAAAACCTAAAGCACCGTGTAGGATACACAAGTAGACTATGAGGAATCTAGGTGCTTTAAGTTGGGTATGGTTGTTCAAGAGGGAAATCCTCACAGTCAAAACACAATTCAATTCAGAGGCTTTCTCAAGAAGAGAGGCATAAGGGAAAAGTTTTAAACTTCTCTCTCAAAACACTTAGCTGATCTTTCCGCCATTCTCAGAATCCAGAGCATTTTTATTTCTGTGTCCTCCAAGGGCAAGAGTGGCACGGAGACAGGAAGAATTAGTTAGCCACACCAGGATGAGGTCATGGTGACCTCTGCAAAGCTCACCACTACCAGAGGCCTCTCAAGTGATCCAAAGTCTGGCATCCCCAACAGTGTGCAAAGCAGACTGCCTGCTAACTCTAATTCCTCTTGTTCTGTATTAAGCTGGTATGGAGAAATATATCTAGCCTTTAGCTACATAAAAAGCTCAGAGCTTAATCATGCCATTAACATCACTGTCCATCCATGTTACACGCACAGTTATCAGGCAGGAAGAATAGCCAGCTAAACATAATTCAATAATATTACATCAACAACTAAATGTAAAGGTAGCATAGGTAAGTGTATTATTGAGACTTCCCATTCAAGATCAATTCAAATGACTGCTTTACATACTACACTGCTCATTTTCTTACAAGGTTTATTTAGTTTTTTAAGATACAAATGACCATATTTACAATGCTATTACTGAACTTGCTTTTAAGTTCTATAAAATGGCTCCTATCTTAACAAGAATAAATGTTTGATTTAGATTAAATCAAACTAAAAAAATAAAATAAAATAAAATCATCCAATAACTGTGAATATATCTTTAGAATCCAAGAAATTGAGTATGAATGTTTTTTTATATGAAATAAACTTACATCCCAATTAATTCTCAAATAAATAAGATAAAAATCCTTCATACTTACAGAATAGAACCTGGACCAAACCATGTTGAAACTGGTTCAATACTCTTCCATTCTTTTTCACTTATATAATTTATGAAGTCCTTCTTAGTCCTTGGACCCTGATAGCGCCTGAATTCACCATCTTTACAACTAAAGAAGGTTAGAACTAAATATTAACCAGTACCAAGTAAATAAACTGTGCATTTATTTTACTATTTCTTTCATCTTTTTACAGTCAATCCAAATTTTCCAAATCATTATTAATGCCTAAGTAACACACTATACCACTTACTCATGACTCATCCCCAAATTAAATATTTTAAACCATAAACCTTCAAACTTACTGTTATTCCTCTAAATAATAAAACTATAAAACACAGTAATTGTATATCAATTTGCCTCAAAACTTGGGGGACTAGAGGAAAGTACATAGTACAGATAAATCTTAAAATTAATTTAGGCTTATGTGTATGTACTATTAAAGGCATGCAGGAAAGATTGCTGAAATGTTTGGCGAGCTACTGTTAACGTACTGGTTAAACACTCTTCTGGTATTTCCAGTCAGAATCACATCATCTCAGTCATCGCATTTAGGTGCACTCCCCTTCTGGTCATTTCACTAATTCTGTTTGCGGTCGGCTTTGCAGCCTTCCTGACATCCTCCTCCTCCCTCCCATCCCCAATGTATGGACCTCTGTCTGAGGCGATCTCCCTGCTCTGCATCTTCACCTTTTCCAAACCACATACCTTAAACACTACTCATCAACCTTACTTAACTACACTTCAAAAACTTTCAATAGCCCACAATTATCTCCAGTAGGGCCAGTGGCTCCCTGTTCGTCAACAGCTAAAAACCACAAGAACACAATTAAAAATTAAATTTTGTGTAGAAAATGGCATTTGAGTTTCCTTAGAGGCAGGGTGAGATTTCAACAGAAGAAATTAGGAAAATGAACAAGATAAGCAATGGGAAACCCAGAAAAGTTCAGGGGTATTTAGAAGCAGAAATGAAAGGCAGAGGTTATAGTTAGGTTATGGCACGTTAGTGAATAGGGAGGGAGAGAAACACTTAGGAAGACAGAATAGACATTTAAACAGATACAAGGGAGAAGAGGGAAAAGTCTTAAGATACAAAATCGGACAGGTGGAAAAGGTGATAAAGGAGTTACATACAAAGAACTTCAAATTTATTTTCAAAATTTTAAATGAGAAAAGTAACTCCTGATATTTAACTTAACCAGCTAGGAAATACTAAGGCACAGGACAGGTACAGATTTGAGAGTTCCTATTTCCAGTTTAGAAGATAAAGTCAAACTAAAAGACCTGATACAGAAAACTAATCTTGTTCATTCTCACTTAACACATTACTATAGCACCCATAGCTCTCTCCCAAGACTGAGCTAAAGCACTTTCTCAGCTATTTTTTGATGCCAATTCCTACTTATAACTTTTTATGAGGTTATCCTCAGGATCAAAGCTTACTCTGCACTCTATAGGAAAATTCTACCTCCAAAACTCTACCTTAAACCCCATGTTCTTTAGGAACCATTCCAGCCCATTGGGATGTTTCTCTTATTAAATTCCTTTCCACAAAAATTACCACAACTCTAGCCTCATAATCATTTACTATGTTAAATAAGTGTTTATTATTTCAGAAAGCAATGAATCTCTGAGATCAGAGGTTTCATACACCAGTCACGTATTTAAAGGCACCTCAGTTAACTTTCCAAAATACTTGCCAAAAATAATGTTGTTTAAATATTTACTAGGTCAGATGCCTACTATTCTGATTATAGTAAGATGCACCCTTCTCCTTAAGAACAGAATCTTCAAATACTTACTGATAAATAGTAGGAAGAGCAGTTATGATAAATCGTCCACTCAGTCCTATAGAGATTAAAAAAAAAAATCAATTGTATACTTTTAAAGCAACTTAGAAAACACTACTGCACACTGCCTCAACTAAACAGTGTAACAGTATGAATAATGAAGATACTTTGTGTGTATACATAGGCACACATACACACATTATATACCACTGCTTGACTAAAACTACTAATGATGAATCATGGAATAATGTAACAATAATTTTAAAAAGATCTGATATAGCAAATCAAGCTTTTGCATCCAGGAAACAAAATCAGAGTTTAAGATATTGCTTAAAAAGAAAATACCACAATTTTTTATAAGGTGGGTAGTAACCATAGCAGCTAATATTATCTTAAGCACTAATATAAACAAGGATTAATCTATACCTCAGTTTGTTTCACTGTAACATGGGGATGTGACCTATCATGTGAGTTTGTATAAGGATTAAATAAAAAATGATAATTCTTGGAACAGTACCTCTAATAACTAAGTGCTCAATAAATATTTGCTATTATTTTGAATAGGGGAAAAGTCAAGCTGTAGTCACTATAACCAAAAACAGATGAGGCTGGTCTGAGAAAGCAGTATCACTAAGGGCAGGTCCTCCGACTTGTACAGGTGGCCAAGTCAAGAGGGTACCTGACCACACAACCCTGACAATTTTGTAATTAAGAGCCCAAGTCTCAAATCATAGGTATTATCAGAAATCCAATTACAGAGATTCGTATCACTTGCCAGGAAATGTGACCTGGACTCTACAAAAAACCTCAGCCACATGCTCCTTATTCTGAAGCTTGATACGGATGCAAATGATGGTTTGGCCAATGCCCAACTGGAGCACAGTGTTCTAGGACTTCTAAAAGGCATTTTTGCATGTTTGTCTAAAACACCAAGGAAAACAAATCAGATGTGTTATGTGGGAAGGTGAGGCACACAATATTTCCAAGTTGCTTTACCCCAACACATACAAGAATAAGGGATGTGCAACCAGGGAGTCTGCCTTTTGCAGCCGCCACAAACTAAGTCTCTATCAGGGAGTTGGGTAAGTACGCTGAACTTGCTGCGGATAGATCTGTTTTCAAAATCTAATGAAAGGTAAGGCTGAAAACAGGGTAAGTACAATCCAATTTTAAAAGAAACAAAACTAACTATTGACTTACAGTACCTGGCTGTTCTGTGACATCTACTTTTGCAACATTGACTTCAAGATCGTCTCCCCACTCGGCAAAACTTTCCCATTCTGGTTGTAGATTTTGACAAGCAGGACACCATGGAGCATAACTAAGATACAATTAAAAAAAAAAAAAAAAGAAAGTTAAGCACTCTAACACGACCACATCCAGATCAAAATTCTACAGTATATACTTTGTGAAGAGTATATTCAACTACAAATAAGATAGTAATGTGGCTAACTTTGTGAAGATGTCATTTTAAGTGGAGCCTAACTTGAAAATCAAGAACTATGAATTAATCATGAGAAAATAATTCTGAAAATAAGTTCAGATATGCTCTTTTACTCATCTTTAAAATCCTTTGAATTTCCTAATTACAATATGGCCACTTATGAAGCTCAAAGTCAAATTTGGGGTTCACAGATTTAATAATTTTACACTACAGCAATTATAAACCCATGTACCATAAGAGAAAAATGGGAAGCACCCATAGCTGTAAAAATAAGGAAACACAAGCTCCACCTTAAGAAGTGACCCACAACTATGGAAGACTGCCTGTCAGTTATTGGTCCAACATGGCAAGGTTATTCTTACTTTAAAAGAATCTCAAAATCTACATTTTAATGTAAAAATGCCACCTCAAAATTTAATCCAGAGAACACAAAGAGACAAGCCATACAAAATTCTTTTAGCCTATTTCTGGTCAGCCTAATTTGGGGGGTTTATAAACCTAGGGTCACATGTATTTTAATAATTCCTCTGATATTCAGCAACTGCCAAGGTCCCAATTTTTTTCCTCTCTTTATTGTATATTATCTTATAATTTGCTTCTTTTTTTTCATGGAATCAAAAAGAATAAAGCCAATACCTTTTACGACACAAAGATCAGTTTTTGCACTTCATTTATATTTTCTTGCTTTATGAAAGCCAAATTTCTAAAACTAATGGGCATTGTGAAACAACGCCAAAATCATTAACAATAAATTGTACTGCAACGAATATATGTAAAACAAAAAACCTAATCAAAATGGATTTAATGTAGACAACAGATTTGTAATTAAAAGCACACTACAGACTATCCCTTAGGTAGGTCCCTTTTTCAAATTCCTATTGTTTCTCAGCTGCATTTAGCTTTAAAGACAACTTCAGGATCAGTAAACAGAGAAAAAAAAAAAATCCTAATCATATATCCTAACTTCACACAGATGCTTTAATTTGAATTCTTCCATATTTCAATTTTGACAGATGCAGTTTTTACTCCATGAGCAATATTTTACTGCACTTTGCATAAAAATTTATAACCACTACTGTTTAACATATTAATAAACTGATTATTTCATGGGTTAGATTTAAAACAAGTTACTCAAGACAAAGAAAAATAAAAACATACAAACGCCCACTGTCACTGGTTATAGTTCTTCTTCCCTGCAGTTAACAATGGTACTTAAAACGTTTTCCCCTTCTTGTTCTCCATATATTAAATACTCTGTCTTTTTTGAAATTTATGAATCAAAAGTCACTACAGTAGCCCTCTCAGTTCTTCCTTGGGAATATCCACCTCCACTGCCACCTTAACTGATACTGGAAAACACTCAGTCTAGGTTATTCTAACAATTACTGCAAGCCCAGTGTTAATGTCTACCAAACAAAAGACCAAAAGGAAGCCAGCACATCAATACCTGAAAAGGTCTGTTTCTCACTGTAAAACACAAGAAATACTTATCATAAAGAACTTGTAGAGGGTTAATAGGACAGAGTATATAACAAAACGTCTAATTAATACAGAGTGAGCATTTAGTTAAGGTGCTTTTACAAATGCCTTTAACCCCACTTATTATTACGGCTGCTGCTGCCACAATTTAACGCCTAAAGTTAAAAGCAGATAGTGTTTTTCTACAGTTGCAGAAGGGACATTATTATAAAGGGATCACGAGACACATGAGTTTCTTCAACAATAAACGATGACCTGGTGCTTTTAAGAGTTTATAAGCACACTCACACATTAATTTTATCTTTTGATGCAATACCACTTACGAGAAGCATTAAGATTCACAAACCCTGGACAGTCAGTCCCTTGTAAAAACACACGGATAAAAGTGATAAAAGGATAAAAGCAGTGAAATAGTAATGAAGGGAACGAAGATTTAGAATGACACAACTTGAAGTTACCATAAAAAAAAATCTTATGCAAGATACAAAATTTAAGAGTCCCAAATCCCAGCACTACATACAGGCTACCTTTTAAGGATAATTAGACAAACGAGAGACGGCTCTTGTAAAGTTTGGTAGAAGTCAGTCTAGAAGTCTGTGAAGAATCATCTAAAATAATTAACTGTATAGGAAGCTGCAACGCAACCTCTTAGGCGAACCACGGCCCTAGAAAAGAAACTAGGGTGCAGTTTAGCAGAAACTTAATATTCCCTGGTAAGAAATGAGGCTAATAATGCGAAGAGGAGTTTGGGGATCAGGCAAGAGTCGGGGTCGCCCGCGCCGCGGCTCGGATTCGCGGTTCCAGGGAATCAAAAGGGACAGAGATGACATGACAGTCCAACTGGGGTGTAGGACCCCAGTCCCACAGCAGCTGAGGGAGAAGCCCTGAGACAACCGCCCCACACTCACAATTCTATCATCCACTCCCCTTCCAACAACTCTTTCCAGTTCTCGTCAGTGATGATGCGCACGTCGCTCCGCCGCCCGTGGGTGCAGGAGGCCCCCCAAAGCACAACCAGCAAGGCTGCCAGCGGAACCCCGAGACTCGCGGAGAGCGCCATGTCGGCAGCTCGCCCACCCCACAGGCAAAGAGCTGCGGCCCCCACCTCCGCGCAGCAACTCCTCACTTCCGCCCTCGCTAGAGGATCTGCGCAGGCGCACGACTGAGCGGCGAGGCGCGCGCGCCTAGAGGACCTGAAGTGCGCGCGCAGAGTGCCTGACGCCTCCAAGTCCCGAAGGGTTGGCTGAGTGGAGAGAGGAAAGCGCGCTTATCTCTAGTGCGCATGACACAAAAGCGGTCCTTTTTCTGACCCCAGTGCTGCTGGGGCGGAAACGAGCCAAAAGGGGCGCGGTGCAGAAAGTGAGGCCCTAACGGGAAACTGATTAAAAGTCTGGGCTAGGTTTTTGGCGCCAAGTGATTGGCATTTATGTTACTCTTGCAAATTGACAAGATTGTACTAAAGCAGTTTCCAGTTAAATTCCCCTTAGAGTTCTCGTTTGTTCCTTTTGAAATTTACAATAAAGCTAATGGATATTTTTTATGTAAGAATATTGGTTTACTTCTGGAGGATTAGAGACCGCAACAATACACAAAAGCAACCCCGGTACCCCTTTGTGGTCTATCCCTGTGGTGAACAGTGCTTCCAGATATCTACATTTGTGAAAACTCATCAAGTGCATTTTAGGATGTCTGTTATCCCTCATTTTTTTTTTTAAGGTAGTGATTACAGAGATGCTGCATCAGAAATTCTAAATGGAACAAAACGCATAGGGGTTTTACCTCGTTTTGGTTTGGATAGTCTAATGGAGGTAACCTTGGTTTACAATACTATGACTCAAAGGTACAGGTTCACACCTCTTCAGACTTATATTACCACACCACAGCCACCACCAAAGCACACATAGTCCACTGTGCCTTTTCCCCTTTGCTCATCATCCCCTTCCGTCTCCCTCTGGTAGCTTCAGGTCTACAGGCAGATTTCTAGGGCTTGGTTTTATCTGTTCCTTTACTTTGTTTCTTTATAGTTGCCATATTAATGACATATTATCGAAATCTCGTATTTTTTTTTTCTCCTGACTTACTTTGCTTAGTATAATCCCCTACGGTTGTATCCATGTTGCAAATGTCAAATTTCATCCGCTTTTTTTCTGAACACTGACTAGGATGCCATATCTATACCACATGCCTTTTTCACTCATCTGAATTTGGACACATAGGTAGCTTCCTTAACTTGGTTATTATAACTAAAAGACATAAAGATGTAAACAGATATGTGTGATTTTCTTCTCAAGCATCGTAAATACAAATGCAAAAGTATTAATCAGTAAAATGAAAATACTGCATTTCATATTCTTTCCTAAACCCACTCCAAAAAGCTAGGCAAACCTCCCCAACCCTCCACTGAAAGACCCTTTCTAGGATGCGAGTGGTCTGCAAATTAATAGAGCCAATTGTTCTTAGCATCCACCTTACTTGATAGCTAGCAGCATTCTGCAGTCACAACACCTTCCCTGAAATGGTTTATTGTCTTGCCTTCTTTGGCATTTCACTTGTTTTTTCCCCCTTCTTTCCTCATTAGCTGCTCCTTCTGCAACTTCTTGGCTGGCTCTTTTCACTTGACTTCCAAGCATTGGTTTGCCCAGGAATGCTATACTGGCCCCCTCTGCCCAAATTCACACACTCCTCAGGATAACATCATCCTGGTTTTAAAAGCCATATTATGTCCATCACTACATTCTGAACTTCTAGGCACTTGTGACATATATTTAGTTGGATACCCCTTAGATAACTGACAGCTCAAAAACTTTTGGAGTCAAAAGTTAAAATCCCAGTTTTCCCTCTCCTATTCTTCTAGTTCAGTAAAGTAGCCCAAGGCCTAATGTGATTGCTCAAGTTTAAAATTTACATGTTTGTTCTTTATTACTCTCTCTTCACCCCCTTCTCATGTAATCCATCAGCATGTCCCACACATTCTACCTCTAAAGCATATGCTGAATCTGACCATCTCCACAGTCCAAGACGAAGGTTCTAGCATCACTTGTCTAGACTACAATGATAGTTTTCTCTTTTACTTCTCTAGATAGAAGCAAGTAATTTCTCCTTAAAACTGTCCTAGCAATTCCCATAACACCTAAAATCAAATCCAAACTCCTTAAAAAATTTTACATGATCTTAACTCATGTAACACTTACTCTCCTCTTTGCTTATACTCTAGTGGTTCCTTTAGAGGTCAAATTCATTCCTGCACTTGAAATTTGGTATTAGGTGGCCCTTGACTACTTTCCCACTGAGACTTCACAAACAACTTCTCATTGATCTTAATTTTATTTCAGAAAGAACTTTCCTAACCAACCACCTAAGGAGGTCTTATTTTGTATCATATTAGTCCATTCTAATCCTCTGCATAATATTAAACCAACTTGCTTTATTGTTTATTATCTGATTTCTTTCCTTATCCAACAAGAATTCAAGATTCATGACATGGAAACTTCCCTATTTTCTTCATTACTATAATATCCAAGATTTAATGCAAGTCACTTCAGTGCCTGGCATATCATGAATGCTCAATATGTATTTATTGGATGAATGAATGAGGAAAATCATAATTATGGATATGCCATGCTTTTATATATGTGCTATATTGACTAAAGAGTATGAATCTATTCTTATATATTCAAAGAATTGGTAAAAGAATAAAGTAGGTTTCTGTTCATGAATATTCCTTTTAAAATCTAAATCATGTATGATGATTTGTTATTAAATTTTTATTTTAATGCAATGTTTACATTATCAACAAGTGTGTTTATGACTAAAATATGCAAAGTACAGAGGCTATAAAATGAAAATAAGTATCTTTCCCTTCTCCTGCCAGAATTTGCACTCCTGAAGTAACTGTTACTAATGTTTCTTTTGTATTCTTCCAAAAATTTTATATGCACATAAAATATTCTTCAAAATACAAACACAAATGAGTTCATACTTCAGCTAATCAGTTTTTTCATTTAACACATGTCAATTTTTAAAAATTCAAATTCTGTCTCAGTAATTTGCTTAAAATTATAAATATTAAAAAATATAGGAAAGTATGTAATATCATGACATTTGTAATTTATTTTATCAATTTTAGGTATCAATTTAAATTTAATTAATAAAACACATGAAAACACATTGCTTAAATAACACCTGGTGGTATTCTGTATTGTATTTTATAATATCTGAAGTATTGTTGATTATTAATCATTAATGTCATGTTTCCTATGTTCTGAAACTACCTTGTTTTCTCAGTCAATGAAAGTTTACCTGCAAACCAGCACATGATTACTTTGATTAATGAGTTTTCTTTGCTTATGTGTATTCCCTCTCTTTATCAACTGAAATACACTTCACCATGCATCATGAGTGTGTTCTGAATTACTACTGCCCATGAATTATCAAAAGGCAGCTTAGTGAAGTAGTTGAATGAATGGATTCTAGAACCAAACTATGTTCAAATCAGGTCCTTCCTTTAAAATACTGGGTGGTCTTTGCTTGACACCTTTGCATCTTGCTTTCTGCATTTGAAAGAATACTGATTGTCTCACTGTAGAGTTGTAATGACAATTATGTGGCTTAGCATGTGTAAAGTGCTTAAAAAGAGTATGTTTCAAATTCTCCAATAATCAGATGTTAAAATGGGGTTAGGCAGCAAAGGAGTTACTGGAAGAAAAGTCTGTGAAGGATAAGAGGGAAAGTAGCTGGAGAATTTTCAGGCTGCAGTGACAGTCTGATACCTGTGAAAAGGACAAGGGGAAAGAGGATTGGCCTCAGAACACCCATTCTAATAATGTCTCAAACTGACAGAAAATCATCATACCAAAGTTGCCTATCAGACAACTCCCACATGAGGCAGGAAAGGCCAGAACTAGTAAATCTGCTACTCAGTTTTTGTCTGGGAGCTGTGAGGCACAGGGTGTGTCATTGTCATTGTAGGGGATGGGAGCAGACAAAGCCTCAGAATTTTCAGTGGCAGCAGTTGGGGATAATCAATAAGAGCACAAATTCCCTCTGCTCCCCATGGAAGGCTCTCTTGAAGGTGATCTGAGTAGTGATTTCATGACTGCCACATTGAACCTACCACGTAGTAAATAATAATAAATATGCCTTTATAAATGTCAGTGAATGGAATGCTTTGGGATTCCTGAACTAAGACCAGACCAGTCATTCAAATTAAAAAGAGAGCAAAATTAAGTAAATTTTACACTGGTCATATCTAAAGGGAAAGCTCAGGAGGAGAGGAATATTTATCACAAAGGCCACTGGGAGTAATATCATGAACTTAACTTGTGTCTCTATAGGGTGATCTAGGGCATCCATATAGGAGGGTTAGTATTAGTTCATGGCCTCTGCAGACTGCTTGGCCACACAAAAAGGATATGGAAGCAGCAAAATTATGAAGCAACTCAGATAAACTTCTCAAAAACAATGCTATCTGTAAGATAACATGCTCAAATAAACTCATGGCTCTTTAAGCCAAGATTAGAAAGATTATTCTTCTTTCTCATCTGTAGGAAGAAAAAGTCACTGTCATTCTAAATTTATGAGGTTGGATTTAAAATTTAGCTTTATAGAAGCGTATTAAATATTTTATAATGTTTCTGCTCATACATAAATGTTTAAAACTAGCTAGCGAAAATGCTGAATGTTCAAAGAGGTAGTATAATGTGAAGCTAAAATTAGAGTTAATAAATGAAAATTTGATCATCTGAATATTGGGCACTGATGTAATTAGTTGTAATTACAAATTAGCTGGTATATATGTCATTATAATTGTACAAAAGGCATAGGAAAGCTGAAGCTACAGACACCGGACTTAAATTCTAAAGTGTGTTCAATTTCAGAAGAATAAAAGGGTGTTCATTTAGCATTAAAATCTCTGACACAGGTAGAAGCTCTCCCCACAGATAGCCCAACACATAGAAAGGATCATAAATGATTCAGAATCAGAACAACAAAACATGCTTGAACTGGACTGGGATGAATAATTATCAGAGCACACTGTACCATGGATGTCACAATTTCCTTGCCCATTAGAACTGGCAGTTAATATAAAGCAAGATAGCATATTAACTTATGTTTAGATATTATGTTAAAGATACTAGGTTATGGGCTCTTCCTAGTGGCACAACGGGTTAAACACCACGTTATAAAG